AGGGTCAACTTTGACGCAACCCGCGCCCTCCTCGACGCCCTCCGCCAAGCCTGTCCTGGCGTGCAAACAATCTTCACATCCAGCCAGGCCGTATACGGCGGCGAGTTTGCCCAGCCAGTAGACGAATCTGTGCACCCTACGCCACAATCTTCCTACGGCGCGGAGAAAATGATGTGCGAATACCTCATCAATGAATACACTCGCCTGGGCTTCGTAAACGGCCTCATTCTCCGGCTTCCCACCATCTCGGTGAGACCGGGCAAACCTACGGCGGCCGCTTCAAGCTTCTTGTCCGGCATGATTCGCGAACCAATGCAGGGTCTGCCGTGCACCATTCCCCTCCGGGACCGCGGCTTCAGACACTGGTTATGCTCGCCAAGAACCCTCGTGGGCAATCTTCTTCATGCGCTGACCCTGCCGAGGGATGCGTTGCCCGTGTATAATCGTGTTTTGAATGCGCCCGGCATGGGTGTCAGAGTGCAGGATATGATGGATTCTTTAGCGAGGGTGGGCGGGCAAGACAAGTTGAGCTTGTTGACCGAGGAAGATGACGACAAGTTGAAGGGGATATTGTACTCGTGGCCGACAAAGTTTGACAACACCAAGGCATTGGGGTTGGGGTTCAAGAGGGATGAGTCGTTTGACGATATTGTCATGGACTTTAAACGGGAGCTTGAGTCTTCGGCATCTGCCTAGGTTTCGTCTTGCTCAGCCTCAGCACGCAATATCATGCATCAGACGCGATGGCCTCGGGTGCCTTGGGCAAAATTACTCGGTAGCAACGCCAGCCCAAACTCATAAAGAAAAGGTACTTGGGCTTTCCAGCAGAACCAGCAGCGCCTGCCCCTTGGTCGCTGCACGAATCCCTGCCAACATCTGATGATCCAGCCTCGGGCCCCCATCGCCATACCGTCCATGAAGGTTTCCAAAAGCCTTTCTGGGTTTGTTTAAAGGCATATTCTCGTTCTTGGATTTGTAGTTGCTTGTGCTGGCACTGCTCAGAGGTGTAATAGAAGCGAGGCCTTTGACCTTGTCGAGTATTTACATTTTTTTTTTCGAGGAAATTGAACTCACTGTATACAGCATCATAAAAATTCGGGAAAAACTATAGTTCATCACGCATTTGATCAATCGGCCATACATGATGTGACGGACGGCTGTTGCGGAGCGGACAGAACACCGAAGTGGCTGCGATGTCGGCGGCGAGTTTCGCCTTGCAGGAACTTACTGGCGTCGTTCGTTTTACTCTTTTTGGAACTGACGGGAAGAACATTCGGTCTGTATTAGGCCGACTTTTCCGACGACCTGGATCTCGTAGGCGCGCTTGACCGACCAGTTCCACAGGCCTCTCCCTGCGGGCATCATGATGGCGCTAGAGAGCAAAGTGCTGTGTTTTCCACAGTCTATTTGAGTGATTCCTCAACTACCATAGAACAGTTATGATACAGAAATGAACACAACATGACTCATGATGGGTTCGATATGCTCCAGGACGGCATAGTTCACCATCTTCAGAGTCAGTATTTAGTAATCAACTATGAGACTGTTCGCTTCGAGCAAAGACATCGAACTTTACTGGAATAGACGTCTCGAAGGAATTAATGGCACGTCCTACGGAATATGGAGCAGCTTGGCTCAAATTGGCATGGCGATATTTTACCCCGTTGCGGTGTGTTTGGCAGTTTCCAAACCATGAGACGGCACGACGCACGTTTTAAAGGCGGCTATCCAAGATTTCATTCAAGGCTTGTTTTTGCCTTTGCTTCTCCTCATTCCAACGTCTGCTACTACAACCCAGTCTCGTGGTCCTGTGATGTGGAACGCTCCAGACAAGCCCGCAATGAGCCTGTATGGCGGCCGCACATTGCCTCCCATTCCGACATCTTTTGAGCCAGGTGGGCTTTTGAACTCCTTCAGCCCTATCCATTCTGGAACAAGGTCCCGGCGAACGGCACGCTTGGTGGTATGCAGGGTGGGGGAAAAAGGGGGAGGGACCCGGGCGAGAATCCCAGACGAACGGTTCACTTGGACTTGTCTTGTTGTTTACTGAAGCGGAGCCTGTGTGATCCCAAGTCCCCTGTTTTGAATCGGCAGTTGGCCGAGGTAGGATGACCTGAGACTTTTTTTTTCGAAACTGTCTTCGAGTACTCCGTAAAGGTGGCGTCACAGTAACGCGCGGTATCACGTTGACAAGAGATGTCACGGTTGTCGAGATTTTTCTCAGGAACGTCATTTACAAGGATACGGCTGCGGAAAAAAGGTGCCATTGCCATAGCTATGAGGAAAGAAGAACATTCGAGCCGGATGAACAATAAATGAGGCGACAAGTTTATCCGATCGGACAATTTTGCTACTCTCACGGAGCGGGTTCCGATGACAGATTGCCGGATCCGGTAGTTTTTAATCCCGGAAGGGCGTTTAATATTGGGGCCGGCAACTAGTACTGCCTTGAATGGGTTCGAAAAACTTGGCCTGTCAATGTTACAAGTCACCGCGTGTGAGAAATAAGGCCGGGCAAAAGGTACTATCTGAAACCATAATGAACTAGGAAGAAAGACGAGGCTTGTACACGGAACGTAGTAGCAACATAATGGATTGAGGTGAGGTCTAGGTTTCGTCCACTCTCGTCACTATTTCCATGTTCAACCTGAGGGTCTTATATGATGTTGGACGCAGGAAAAGGTCCGGACTAATGGTTACGGTACGAGAGAACAAAATTCTCATTGATTGACCGTTGACCGGTCAACCAATGTGTCCGGAACTACTTGACGTACAGTCGTGTGGATTTAAGGCTCGAAAAGTCATGCGGTCTAGACTCTTTTAAGAAGTCATTGTCTTTGTGTGTCAATTTGAGCACCAACGCCTGAAAGTATCCCGGCACCCTTCTGCTGCGGTGTCTTCAGGTGCAGCAAATCCTCTCCAGGGGTTTGGCTGAGTGTTTCATCAAGTATATCATAAAGCTTCAGCAAGCGTATTGCTAAGTGTGTCATACGATACGATGCCACCACAAAGTTTATCGAGTGTCTCAGTATCCAAGTCTTTATCCAACGACTCGTCTTCAACGGCGGCTTCAAGCACCTCATCAAGCGCTTCAACATTACCGTATCCTGCTAAGAAAATATATGGCTATGACATCAGGCAGTGGATCCCGTATTAAGCTCTTAATCATGCCGTAAACAACTTCAAGAGTTAAAGAGGGTTCTACCTCTTGCGCGTGACTGACCATGCAGTCGTTTTCGACTTGCATTAGACCAAGATTTGCTACTCTAATAAGATTGCATTCTATAAAGTGACAGCTCGACCTGTTGAACCTGTTGGCCGAGATGGAGACGGTGGTAGGCTCGCAGCGCAACTGGCTCGAATCCAAAGCTCAAGGGCGGTTATGGTTGGGGATTGGTTTTGAGATACAGCACAACAATTTCGCATAGTGTCGCTGTTCTTGCATTGATTCGCCCTATTGTAGAAAGGGCGAGATATGGCGTCGTCGTGCATAGACTTGTTGCCGACCTGTAAGAGAAGTTTCTCATCATTGGATGTTATACCAGCTGTCACGATTGGCAGTTGTGAATCGCATGTATTGTGGATTTGGTCTTTCAATTGAACAGAAATGTCATACCTAGTAGGGTTGCTAGCTAGCTTTTAATTACAACCTTATATCCTAGTTTGAAACTTCTAGATAAAAAGGCCCGGCTATATCAGAGGGACCGATTGATGACTCACTCGTTGACACGGCATCTTTAGCAGCAGCCCGGCTTTTTCAGGCCGTTGAATTGAGAGGCAGAAGGAAGAATATGATTTCTGCAGTGAAATAAAGGAGAAGATGTACAATTTGGCCGAGATTTGTTCTATGTTGGAAAAAGGCCGTCCCCAACCACTTACACGCCATTGGATGGCGAAGACGCAGAGACCGATCACGTGACTGGCCGATTTTGAAAAGTTTTACATCAGCCACTCACACACCGTTCATCCAATCATTGGCGCTCTTCAGCTCCATTCGTCTTTAGTCTGCGGGTGCAGGAGCACTTGGCTGGCAAATGGCCCAGGCGCTCGGCTCCTGTGGTCCCCCTGGCCCCTGGCCCCATTGTGAGGCAGGAGCGATTGATGATGGACGATAACGATAAGAGCCCAAGGGACGGAGGACAAGTGCGGACAACTACCAGGTTACAGAGCAGCCAAGTACACAGTACCTTGGCCCTACTGGAGACAAATGCTGCTGATAAAGTATCGACAACTAGACCTCTTGGTCCCTGTGTTGCGCTGGCTGCCACGGAGCTCCTGTGCTCGTGTGCTCCTGCCCCATGCCTTGCGGCCACTGGCCCTTCCTGAGTGGCGTCTCGGGCCTCCGTAGCGGGCCACACATCCCCCAGCAAGACATGGATCCGAGCCCAGCACAACATTCAACTGCCCAAGCCCGTTGTCGCCGTGCGGTCACGCGCTTTGCCCACTTGGACATCCAACCCATCGGCTTTGTCTCTTGTTCTCTGTCCCTGTCCCTGCACCAAACCCTCACCTCATCGTCATCAGCTCGCAACTCTCACTCTCCGCAGCCTTGCTGTCGCACGCTGCGCACCTCGGCGTCCCCTCCTGCCCTGCGCTGCGGTTCCGCTCGCTCCTGCTGTTGTCGACAGCCCAACCCGACCCGAGCCCCGACCGGTGGTCGCCTGCGGCGGCATTTGCGTGGCGCAAGCACGCATCGCACCCGAATGCTCGCTGGCGGGTGACGCGCCACTCCCTCC